TATGTAAATGAGTGATTTCATCACATGCATTTAGTGGACCTTAACATATTCCTTCTTTTCCCACAAAAAAAAAATTATGGTTACATAATTTTTTTAAATAAAGATTCCACAGAATGCTCAAAGATAAAATTTAAACAGCTAAACACTTATACAAAATATCTATGTCATGATTCATTTACAAAAAAATCAAAATATTATTCTGTCAAATATCATTTCTTTAACTTACAATTGTAATTAATTCAGTTCATTGTCTATTCCATTGCTGTACAAAGATGTCATTATTCTAATGAAATTAAATTTGAATTTTCATGCTGCCAAAATATTTTGACAGAGATATATGTCCAGTTATAATACAGATTGTTCAAACAGCTTTCTAATGGACTGTACATTTAAAATCTCATCAGTTAAACAATTCAGTATCAGGTATATCATGAAACTATATTCTTTCTTCTATAATATATATCTTGGGAATCTCCCTACATGTTGGAAATTTGCCATTTTTAAATAAAAAGCCTACTGTCACATATTCTTTATGATTCAATTAAACCTTATATATATGTAAACACAATTTATCTGATTACTTTCAAATATGTAAGTCATGAATCATTTGGTGCAATTTTACTTAAAACTTTGAAACAAGAATATCAAATACTGAGCTGAATGGTAAATATCTATAAATCTCATTTTTCCGAACCTACAGTACAGCTCAGACAAATGTCTCATCCTTTAACTTAATATTTATAAAAAAAATCATATCTTAATTTGCAGTGTGGACGAAGTGTCCATTTTAGTTTCTTTGCCATTGACTTTCTCTGCACCTTTTTGCTGTCTCTGTGAAATTCCCATTTTACACCTGTCCATTCTTTTGCATTCTCATAAACATTTTCTGTGTCTGAACCTTGTTTGTCTTCATTCTCTACAACTTTAAGCACCTCCTCACTTGCACTTTGTTCTTCATTCTCTGCAACTTTAACTTCCTCCTCACCTGCACTTTGTTTCATCTCTACTTCAGTAAGTTTGTCTCTGTCTGTATCTTTGAAATTAGAAAAATCCATTTCCATTGGCTCATCATTAAGTCCTCCATCATTCCCATCATTTTCTTCACCTACAACTTGTTCCTTCACAAACTCCATCATACATTCATCTTCTTTAGCAGTACTCAATGTCTCGACTTCAGTTCCCTTCTCCATTTCTGAAGGTCCATCTACTTTGCTTTGGTTTTTATCTTTAACTTCTTCCTCTGGTTTTATTTCAGACTCTGCAGAAGTGTCATTATTTTGCTGGTCCAAACAGCCATATTGTCTTTGTAACAAGTCGGCTAGCTTGGACAGGCATTCTACCAGTCTGCCATTAATGTTATAGTCCTTTTCAGAATCCCAGTCATCATCTTCATACACATACTCATCTTCAAAGTTGGATCCATAGCTATATCCATAGCTATATCCCTCCCCCGCAGTGATCCTGGCGAGCTCGCCATTATGTAGGGGTCCATGTTCCACCCTACCCAGGTTCTTCTAATATTTTACCTGTCACTGATGCATGGGAGAGGGAATATAACTACAAACTCACATCTTCAGTCCCAAGTCTAAAAGTCCTTTATTAAGTCCAAGCATTCAGCCTTTATACACATTATCTCCAGAGAATCTATCTGCATGCCACAGTGGCAGCAACTCATTTAAATACTAATTGCAATGCAATAGATAAGAATTGAGGGCTTCTACTTTTAAGTTATATCAGTTCTACTTATCAGGTATACCTATACAGAGGATGATAAATATTCATTCAAGACTGAAGTAAGGTGAATGATAATATGCTGACTGATTACAATTATAAACATAATATGTAAATGAGTGATTTCATCACATGCATTTAGTGGACCTTAACATCTATCCTCTCAAGAGCAACTTCACTAGAAATAGGCAGATCAAATTCTTTAAGAAGTTGATTTTCACCGATTTCCAGTGAAGCTGCTTCTTTCTCCAGAATCTTTTTTAGGTATAAGGTATTAGTCCTCACCATTCCTTTCAACACCTCAACTTTGGTGAGAAGTTTCTTCATGCTGAAACGGGAAAAAAGTCAAATATAATGGAGGAAGAAAAAGTGTAGTTAATAACATATGTGGAGAATTTTACACATTTCATTACATATATTTTAAGAAGAATAATGTACTAAATTCCAGAAGAGAGTGGCAGGCAAGATAAGCTAAAATTAATTTCTTAGTTGTTTACTCCTTAATCCATTGATAGGAATGAAAGTTAAACTACTGCATCTTACCATGGCAATGACACATTCAGCACTTTAACTAGATACACACATACCTTTCACGTGTATTTCCTTGTGAGGATTGACTGCTCACAGGCGACAAGTAGGTAGTACTGCATGATGGAAGACTATAAGAGAAATATGAGATACATATAAAGTGTGGCTTTGTAATGTGCACAAAATGCCTTGTCTAATTATGAGCCTAAACCAAAATGAAACATGATTTATAGTTATGTTTCACAGTTTAAGATTTAAAACTGAAATGAATAATTTTACAAACATGACTCACTTCATCTCCTGCCTAGTCAACAATTCTGCATTGTTTCTGTAAGGAGAGTGAGTTACATAATTATATATATATGACAAATATGACAATTCAACTTAGTGAAATTAATAAACAACAATTGAAGTGAAATTAATGAACAACAATTGAAAATCAGTTATTTGAATGTCTATCAGTGTTTATGCAACAAAGAAAAAAATAATTGTCACAGTCTCTAAGATAAGACAATAGACAATACAGTTGCCTAGTAACAATAAATACACATTGTTACGGACGGATTCTCATAACATAAAGCAATGTTCTTGAACAATTTTACTATATTACTAAGCTATGATTAACACATAACAATTTTCAGAACTAGAACATAATATAACAAGCTAAACAAGAATAAACAATATTACAGTTAATCTTAAAAGTCATTTGTACATGAATGATTATAATGTCTTGAAGTTGATGGATGGTGCACACATGTATGTCAATAAATGCCACCTCGGGCAGTCAGGCCTATCGCCACATCCTCCTCCTCGCTTTAAAGTTAAATACATCCACATTGTCAAACAAATTATTGTTCACCTCAATAACATTCTCCCGCGGCACAGTTTCTCATGAAAATCCAAGTCACACTGTCACCGCTATAGTTATGCATCGACGGATTCGGAGGCAAACGTCATTCAGTCACATACAAAATACCTCTCTCCATTGGGAATCCATACATGTTGTACACGGGTCCTTTTCCCAGAATATTTCTCATGTTTGAATCGTAGATCAATGACAAATCTCGCACCATTCATCAGCCCCGGTCATCAGTACATGTATCGCAATGCTGCGGAGAAAACGCTTCTGTTGCGTTCACTTGACCTTGACCTTTTTTTCTCTTCTGGAGCGTGCAATTTGCAATGTTCCGATTGGTCAAAAAGTCACGAGATACCACAATCACATTATAACGTAACACATTATAACGTAACAACATGTGCACTAATACTAAAAGGGCATTTGTCACCTACCCATTCTTGGCTTTTTTCAATTACCACTTGGTTCTTATCAGATCTATTAATTGTATTTCCGAGGTTATTTACTTTTTGTGTACCTTATATCAACTTCACAATGTGTCATACAAATAAAAAATCTAAACTGACATGGCATTGTATTCAATAATACTAAAAAACATCACTGTAAAAAGTTATACCATACCTGATGGTCAATGAAACGGGAAACGGAGGTAACTGTGTTGGTGTACATGTAGGTTGACTCTCTTTCATCTTATTTTGCAGATGACTAAAGATCCCAACCAAGCATATCTATCTACTTCAAAGTTGTCTGGCCCACACATTTCTTCTTTTACAAAGTTCTTAAATTTGGTAATGCCTTCAGTTACAACTTGCTCTTCAGGACATCTTGCTTGGTAAACCAGTTAGATAATGCCTTGTATTGAGAGCTGGCATAGATTTCTTGAGATTTCTAGATTTCTTAAATAAATAGGCCCGCTGAAATTTGCCAAGCTCTTTAGACTTCGAGTCTTGCATTGTTTGTGTATAAAGTTCCTTTAAAGAGTTTATGCGGCTGTGTATAATTGCATGAATGTTTAGTTTCAATCCATGTTTTTCTTGACTATTGTCCATGCTAATTAATTTCGTTTTCGAAAATCCCCAGTGTCAGCACTAGCCGCTGGCTTCTGCACAGACTTGCCCTTCTTTGCCGATTTTGCTGATTTAGGCTTTCTTTTGTTATTCCCGCATTTTCCGGTTTGGAATTTCTGCTGTGCTTGCAGGTGCTGAATAGGTTTTATTTGACGCCTTATGTGTGAGAAACTGCATTAACCTAGATAACACTGTCATGTGCATATTTGGTCGATGCGGTTGATCTCAAATGATACTTTCCTGATTTCATTTACAATTAGATACATGTACACACTTAAGTATANTCAGATGGTCTAGGTACATGTTTCTTGTTGAATGGTATGTTTTCTCTTGTATAACAGGTTGGTAGTGCTATAGTTTCTGTTAAGTTAAAACCTCTTACAGTCAATCCTGGAACCTTTGAAGTTTTGACTACATAGCTGGAGTTGACTGTTGAAATCCTGATACTTGTAGGTACGCTTTCTGCATTCAGCTTGGCTGCTAACTCTTCGCTAATGAACGTAACATCACTTTGACTATCTAGAAGAGCATATGTCAGGATTTCATTCCTGGAATTTCCTACAGATATATAGACTGGAATTGTCATTGAACTGATAGCTCCCTCTAGGCAAGTACTTGACAATGTTCTTACATGTTGATCTTCTGGGTGTAGGACTTCGTAGTCCCCATGTAGTATGGCAGGGTGTTTACGACCACATCTACTGCATTGTTCCTTCCTTTTACACTCCTTGGCTAAGTGACCGTTTCTAAGGCAGCTTAGGCAAAGACCTCTTTTCTTTATAAACTCCATTCTTTCTTGTGGCGTTTTTCTCTCGAAGTTTCGGCATTCTCTGATGTCGTGTCCTATTTTCTCACAGAATGTACAGGCATTTTTCGTGACAGGAGGCGTTGGTATAGCTTGATCGCTCGTCTTCGTCATAAGGCTGGTGGAAGTGGGGGTTTTCTTGCTAAATGCAGTTTTAGCTGGTCTCATAACAGAGTTGTTTACAATGTCGGATTCCTTTTTTACAAACTCTACAAACCTCTTGAAGCCTGGGAAACCTTGTGATTCTTCGACAATTCAGGCCCATCTTCGTGTGATCCATTCAGGTAGTTTCTGAAGTAACTTCCTATTTTCCCGACAGTCGTCCAGGATCTTCAACTCTCCTACATGATCTGTTGCTGCTAAACACTGCCTGAGAAAATCTGATAGTTTTCTGATCTGTTGCTGCTAAACACTGCCTGAGAAAATCTGATAGTTTTCTAAGTCCCTTACTGTCTCTACTGTTAATCTTGGGCCACTTTTCTAATTTGTCTCTGAAAGCCTCTGCTATCAAAAATTTATCACCATATCTATCTTCAAGTATCTCAAGGGCTTCAATGTAAGCCTCTTCTGAATCTAAGTAAAACAAATGATCCACTGTCTCTTTAGCTTCTCCTCTGAGGTACCTCTTTAGGTAGTACAGCCTCTCACTGGGTGGGATATTTCTGCTTTCTATTAGAGTCTTGAATGCTAGTCGCCATGTTACATATGTTAGATAATTTCCCTCAAATACAGGTGGCTCTGGAATCGGTAATCTACTCAGGCTCAACTTCTCTAAGGCCCTCACAACATCATGGCTATAGCTGCTGTCTGACTCCTTCTTAGTAGTATCTTCACCTCCCATTGCTTTCCTAAAGATTTCTTCCCTTTTCTTGCTTTCATTCAGTTCTGATTCTAACAAGAGCCGCTTTCTTCTCTGCTCTAAACGTATCTGTTGCTCTTCTATTTCTTGCTGCGCTGTAAGGTACTTCAGCCTTTCCTTCAAAGCAACCTGTCTAGCTTCTTCTTCTAACTGTCGCTCCTTAAAAGATACGTTTGAGCCGGCTTGACTGACGGAGTCATCTGGATCTAATTCCTCAATTAGTCTTCTTCTCAAATCATCTTTAGGCGATATGTTTCTGACTGTTACTTCTTGGTCAGTTGGTGTCTGAGAATGAACTGTCCTAGTGCTGGGTAATGTCTTGGTAATGGTACCCTGTAGCTGCATCCATTTTTAATGTCAAGCAGTGAGCAGGTATTCTTAGAAAGGAGGGAGGGGGCAGGTGGTATGGGCAGCGTAACTTATTTGAATTCAAATAAACTTATCTACACTACACAAGACAAGTAAATTTCCAAATGTAGACAGTTTCTCTATAAGTAATAAGCTAGCTAAAACATTTGAACATCAACAGCAAACATGTCAAATTGCCGAGTATCTTAATCTTAACAAACAAATAAATTAATAATCATATGTATATTAAGATAGCCAATAATATATTCAGCTACACTGAGGTCTACTAGTATTTATAGTTATCTGTGGATATGAAATCAAGTGTCAACATATACTCGAGAAAGTCTCAATTTCAGCTTTATTGCAAGCTGCGGATTGGATCTTACCTCAATTTCCTTAATTACAGTCCCACCAGTAACTGCTAGTACTTGACTGGGCCGGGTCATCTAAATTATGGCTGTTGACTGGCTCCAGGCATCTCATATATCTAGAGTTACCACAGGTTGTAAGTAGGTCATAAATTCTGTCTTCTTGGTTCGGTTGTTTGGTACGGGCCGTCTCAGGGCTTTAGTTGTGGACTATTGGTATGGGTCAACTCAAATCCAAGTCGTTNTGAATCTTAACAAACAAACAAATTAATAATCATATGTATATTAAGATAGCCAATAATATATTCAGCTACATTGAGGTCTACTAGTATTTATAGTTATCTGTGGATATGAAATCAAGTGTCAACATATACTCGAGAAAGTCTCAATTTCAGCTTTATTGCAAGCTGCGGATTGGATCTTAGCTCAATTTCCTTAATTACAGTCCCACCAGTAACTGCTAGTACTTGACTGGGCCGGGTCATCTAAATAATGGCTGTTGACTGGCTCCAGGCATCTCAGATATCTAGAGTTACCACAGGTTGTAAGTAGGTCATAAATTCTGTCTTCTTGGTTCGGTTGTTTGGTACGGGCCGTCTCAGGGCTTTAGTTGTGGACTATTGGTATGGGCCATCTCAAATCCTAGTCATTGACTGTAGCCACTTGCAATACTCACACACAACAACAACAGCTTTGCGTCGTTTTTACTGATTTATTAAACCGTCAACTGAAAAAATAATTGAAATAAAATAAGAAAATCATCTCATATTCTTGACCTAGTTCTTTTATATAATGCTATTAAGTCGCTTAAATAACATCTTTACTTAACAGTTGCATGTTATCCTATCTTTATCTTCAAAATATAAGTAACTCTTACCGACTTTGGGCTATTCTAGTGTAATGCAAGCGACTAGGTTCTAAATGATTGTGTAGTAAATCTCATCTGGCGCAACTAACACAATGAAAAAATACGCTTTTAAAAATAACATTGATTACGAACATAAAACAAACAATCTTTAACTCTCAACTAGTACAGCTACATTCTCGTTTCTAAACAATACACTACACTTTACTGAACTTTCTTTACTCCAATACTGAAAGGCACAGTGATTGTGTTACATGTACTGTGCATTGTACATCAGACCGGCATTTCTAACGCTACTAAAAGTTACAGTTTACAATGGAAAACTAATTTTATCTTCTCGCAATTATCTTTAAATGAACTTTCATAACTTAAAATTAATTGCTAACCTTATGGGCCAGATTCCTGTTACAAAAACACTTGTAATTACGGCTGTCTCAGCATTAATTATCAGCCGATCTCATTCCACATGGAATCACATTCTATCCCATCATTATCATAAGCGCGCTAAAAACAATTGTTATTCAACACCGATGCGACAAACAAGTGAGTAGCGCGTCCGAAGTAAAGAAATAAGATNNNNGTAATACCGATGTAAGTAAAATATGTAACAAGCAGAAGGCTTCAGGGCCAACGAGAGTTCTCGTTCACACTTTGAAAATGCCAGAATGAGGAAAATGAAAATTTCACACAAAATTGCATAAATTCAATAATAAATGATATTACCCAATTGAGTTGGCTTTCTAATTTGAGCTGCATGCTAATCCTAAAAATCATTCTTGTAAGTTAAAAATAATAATAAGTAACACAGTTTTCTCTTTATAATGTTTGTGGTAGCAGTGCAAAAAGAAGATGTAACATTACATAATAAATTACAAAATAATTATCACCAATTTTTGATTATTGACTATAAATAGCATGGACATGTACAAAATTTGATTACCAATCCGCTTCATGCCCTTGGGAGCTCTGAGACCCACAATGAATATGCCAATACGATAAAAATGAATATTTCATCAAAATGTATAACTTCCAGGAAAAGAAGCCAATTAGACTGCTTTACCAACTCAGACTGCATTTTAGTCCTGTGTTTCTTTATTATAAGTTTGACAATCATAACCCCTGAACCTTTAAAGTTTGCAGAAATAATCCTTTTATTAGTCCCTTAAACTATAAAAATGCATACTCATATATTGACAGTTTTGCAGAAAATTGACCATTTAAAATCCTCCTATTAAGTACAGCTGACCTTTGACTCCATGACTTTGATACTTTGAGAGGATAAACCTCACATTAATCCCAACAACTTTCTCAAGTATGAGGCTATACAAAATGTCGTTGGTTTTCCAAAAAAAATGGCACTTTTTGTTTTTCAAGATTTTTACCATGTACAAAAAATGTCCCAACCCCTGCATACTGAACATTGTAACATTGAAACTTTTGTCATAAAGAACTACATTGCTACTTGCTGGACACCATCACTTGTGGTAAAATTGTATACAGATAGCTATAACGTATTGTATGGCAATTATGAAAATACAGCTGAAGTCACTGTTTAAACACCAAGTTATTGACTGCAACAACATAGAAAGAAATGCTAACACAATCAATCTGATTGGCAATGGACAATGAATGAAAATATTTTGGTGCATGACATTAGTTCATTAAGAAAAATTTACCAGTACATTCCTCTTCTTCAGAATTACCATCCTCAAATTTATCATGGTCTTGCTGATCTTGGTGTGCTGCCAGCTGAAGCTTCTGTCTTTTATCCATCTCTGATTCAAGCTCTTTTTTTGATTCTTATAAAATAAGATCAAAACATTTTCATGCATATAAATCATTGGCGACAATTAGAAAATGATAAGTACTTGCAATTACTATATTAACTCAATTTAACTGTTTGTTAACTTAATTTTTCCCAGATTGCTGTGTAATGTTACTAATTTTAAAGAAAGCTTTTTGTAAACAGAATCCAGGTACAAAAATAGTCAAATTCTGTTATGAATTGGCGAAAACAGAGTCTATACTTGAAAATCTTAATTATATAAGTTAAGTCAGACAATGGCTTCTTGAATTAGGATAAAAAGAAAAATATTCCTTTAATTTTATCAAGTAATCACTATGAGGTGGCTCTTTATTTGACAAAACAGGATCAATTTTACCTAATCATTTCAATTTCAAAAGAAAATGAGGGAAAAAAACTTTAAATAAATGGGAATAACATTGTATCTAGGAACCGTGGGAGGGGGAATTCACAGACAATTCTTGTACAAAGACCAAAGTTAGACATAAGAAAATATAGTTTCAGTGTTAGATCTACAAACTTATGGAATAGTTTACCAGAAGATGTTGTGTGTGCACAGTCTATTAACTCATTTAAAAACAGAGACTTGACCATTTTTGGAGGAACCAAGACGTACTATATGACTATAACTTATAACAGGGGCGTAACCAGACCTTTTACAATTGTACGCACAGATTTTGAAAATTTACAGATACGATTATATTCCGTGAAAAATACACTGAATTTATGGAGAATAATATCATGGTTGGCTCAAAAAACTGTACGCACAGTGCATCCGTGCGTATGCCTGGTTACGCCCCTGTATAAGGCAGATATGAAAACAACGTATGACTACACGACAAAAACCGGAAGTCAAGTTATTGAGTCCAACGAAGAGGACCCTCTGGGACCTGTGTTGGAAAGCAACAATAAGTAACAATAAGTAACAAAATTACATTATCAGTTTCTCAAGACGGCACGGACTGCAGGAGACCTACATTCTACCTCAGTGACGATTTTAAGCTCACAGACAATACTAGTTTCAGCATGAAAAAAAAAAAAATTCTTTGAACTTCATTCATAAAATACTTCTAAAAAATATCGGTGTATTCTCAACTGACGATTAAATTAGAAGAATGTATGTTGTTTAACAAAGGAAAACTTACCGCCAATTTCTACGATGACACCTTTCCACAGTCCAAATTTCGGTAGCTTTGCTACAACTTCGTCACCTTTTTTGTATTCAAGAAAGCCTTTTCTCGGTTCTTTGATAATTTTTATACTGTTGACGCTAGTTGTATTGTCATCCCAGTCGAACCAACAAAAGAGATTCGCGGTGTTTTCTTCCATTTATTTGTATTCTCGAGCTCGCAGTTTGAATTTGATGCAGCGGATTAGATGTAGATAGAGCAGAAGACATTTTCGCGCATGCGTACGAGCGCTTTGTCTACGCGCCATAGGTGGCGCTGCGGTCATTTCTTTCGTGAACTGTACATGTAATGTATTAAAGAGGTCTTGAAATCGACGTAAGTCTGGGAGTTTTAGCCATAAAAAATCATGTACAACAGTCGTTTCAAAGCCGATGATCCGTTAGCCGACACATCGAAATCCACGAAATGGCGCCTGAGAAAGAAAATGCGACTTGATCCAGACCCTGATTCCATCCAATGCGACTCTGACGAGTCTGAGATCGACCACTCAAACGATCATAACACAATGTAAGAATTCACAACTTTAGTTTTCCTGTGTTTTAATTTAGTCCTGACAAAGGAATGATTTTAAAAGCAAGATTAATGGCCCTTCTGTAATTTGTTAGTGAACTGTAGAGCCAATATCGTTGTCCTACGTTGCAAACTAAATGACTGCAATAATATACAATACACTGTGTTTTAAAATACGGTATTATTTTACTATACATTTCGTTTTAACGAGCTCTTACATATTTTCCTCAGTGTTTTTTGTTAAAGAAATTGTTAATTTTTTTATATAGCTTATCTATATTATATTTTAATGCAAATTCCCATAAACTTATATTTTTGACACTCTAGAAATTATATATATATTTTTTTTTTTCNACATGTAATCAAGGAGTTATCTGTTATAACTCCTTGATCCAGACCCTGATTCCATCCAATGCGACTCTGACGAGTCTGAGATCGACCACGCAAACGATCATAACACAACGTAAGAATTCACAACTTTAGTTTTCCTGTGTTTTAATTTAGTCCATACAAAGGAATGATTTTAAAAGCAAGATTAATGGCCCTTCTGTAATTTGGCAGTGAACTGTAGAGCCAATATCGTTGTCCTACATTGCAAACTAAATGACTGCAATAATATACAATACACTGTTTTAAAATACGGTATTATTTTACTAGTCTATACATTTCGTTTTAACGAGCTTTTACATATTTTCCTCAGTTTTTTTTTTTAAAGAAATTGTTAATTTTTTTTATATAGTTTATCTATAATATATTTTAATGCAAATTCCCGTAAACTTATATTTTTGACACTCTAGAAATTATATATACATGTATATATATATATATATATTTTTTTTTTTTCTTTTTCTTTTACTTTTTAATTTGCAATATGTAAATTATCTGGTCTATGAAAAGATTAAGATAAAACCTTATACACAAATCTTAACGTTTCAAATGACATTTTAAGCATTGTAAAACTTCGTAACAATCTTTTTGTTTCTGTTTCATTAAACCCCCTGAAAATTCCAGATTTTTCGTCTGGCCATTTGTTCAGATTTTAGGAAAGCCCAGTAATTTCCTGTTTACAGGAAAATGGCGCTGAGCTTGTTTATTTTGTCTCAGTTAATGTTTTAGAAAGGCACAAAAAAAGTCCGGTCAAAAAATCATACTTTTCAAGTGTTTGAGAGAATTTTTGATGGGTATTTTTTCCTGCCCTTTCTTGAGAATAGCCATTGATAATAGTTTTAGATGCAATATCAATTAAAGAATATTATGAGTCATATTTCTTCCAACATTTGTTTTTTTTTTTTCAGTGAAAACACCACATGTGCCTCAAAAGCACACTACAATAGTCGATTGAAAGAGGATGATCCCTTTAGAAGCGCACCCAAAACTACAAAGTGGCGTTTGAAGAAAAAAGGTGTGGATAGAACTTCTGATCTGTTGGAAGAAAGAGAAGAACATGCCCCTCAGTGCAGGATATCAGAACAGTAAGATGATAAAATAATTCCTTTTTCTCTTGAAGATTTTAAAATTGTACAAAAGCTTTGAAAATTGCTTATTTGATGACATTTTGTTTTCTTTCAACAGTTTATTGCTGTTGAAAATAAGTTGTTTAATATAATAATAGACAAGTACATATATATACAGAATTTTTGAATGTTGACATTTGGTATTCCTGTTAATTCGTTTCAACTCTAGCAGCTTTGTTAAAAAAAATCAAATATTTTTTTGTCTGAGGTACGTTTAACCCCAAGAGCAATAAAAATAACTCAATCAAACTTAATGTTTTCGTTTTAGAAATGCATTTGTGGATCAGGAGTTAACAGATTATGAAGCAGACATCAACTTTGAAGAGAAATCTTCATCTTCAAAGAATTGTGATAGTGATGAAGAAGTTAAGTTCAGTTATGCAGAGGAAAGTTCTGTATGGTTTGAAGATGAAACCGTAGAACTGCCTGATGAAACTGTCCCCCAACTTGATTTCACTGATGGTAGTGAACCAGTTTACAAAGGATGTTCAACAACAGTTGCTCAAAGTGCTCTTTTGATCCTAACATTTGCTTTGAGGCACAATCTTACTGGTGAATGTTTGTCTGATTTATTAGCATTAATTGCAGTTCATTGTTTGACAACAAATGCCATCCACTCTTCTCTGTACAAGTTTAGATCCTATTTCTCAAACCTGAAGTCACCTTTGGTATTTCACAGGTATTGTACAGAGTGTGAATATTCACTAGTGCAGGAGTACCATTCATGTCCAAACTGTAATGTAAACTTGAAGGAAAACAAGAACATATCATATTTCGTTGAGATTCCATTAGCACAGCAGATACAAAAGCTTTTTGAAAGGAAAACATTTCATCAAGATCTACACCATAGACACAGTCGCAAAAAGAAAAATGCAAATAACTTTGAGGATATTTATGATGGCCATTTGTATAAAACTTTCTCACAACAAAATGCATTTCTGGACAATCATAATAATATATCATTCATGTGGTACACTGATGGAGTACCTTTATTTAAGTCTTCCAAAGTTGGCCTTTGGCCATTATTTCTGTCTATAAATGAATTGCCGTACCATGACAGATTGAAACCTGAAAATTTGTTGTTTGCCGGTTTGTGGTATGGTAAATCAAAACCATCAATGTCAGTCTACCTTGAACCATTCTATGAAAGTTTGAAAAAACTGCGTGAAGAGGGAATTAGTGTAAATTGTGAGCATTGTGCAAAATCTTTTGTTGTTAAAGGTATTTTGTTGTGTGGTACGTGTGATTTGCCTGCAAAATGCTTAATGATGAACATGGCTCAGTTCAATGGTAGGTTTGGATGTCCTAAGTGTAAACAAGAAGGGGTTGTTGTGAAAACTGGAAAAGGTCACACGAGGACATTTCCTTTTCAAGAAAATTCTATTGATGGTCCAAAAAGATCGCATGAGGAGTTCATAGAACATGGTGAAAACGCCTTCACCTCATCATCTTCAGTATTTGGTGTGAAGGGACCATCTTGGTGGGTGAATATTTCAGCAGACATAATCAATGGAACTGCTATTGACTACATGCATACAGTGTTGCTCGGAATTGTCCGTCGGCTTCTGAAACTTTGGTTTGATCCAAAGTTTTCATCTGAACCTTATTCTGCTTCACGATTTGTGGATATAGCTGACAAAAGATTGGCATGTATTAGACCACCATATTTTATCAAGCGCCATCCACGAAGTATCAAAGACCATTCTCAATATTGGAAAGCTTCTGAATGTAGATCGTGGCTTTTTTATTATTCAGTACCTGTCTTATTTGGTGTTCTGCAGAAAGAATATTTTGAACATTATCTTTTGTTTGTGGATGCAATGTTCATTATGAATCTAGATTCAATTTCACCAGAGGATCTATTACATTGTGAAGAGTTGCTTATCAAGTTCAGCTGTTTGTTTTCTTCACTGTACGGTGTGAGTCACATGTCAGCAAATCTACATCAGATGTTACATTTACATGATGTTGTAAGACAATTAGGTCCATTATGGGTCTATTCATGCTTCTCATTTGAAAGTATGAATGGCAAGTTGTTGAAACTCTTTCATGGAACACAGTCCCCAGCTATTCAAATAGCAAATGCAGTTTCTACTCTTATAAAGTTACCAATTTTAGAGCAAAATATTGATACAGACACTCATTCTCAGAGCGCAGTTTCACAACTGTATTGCAAACTATCTTCTGCAAGTGATCGGCACAAAATTACAGAGACAATCTGTGATGGTGTACATGTAATTGGTGCAAAACATTTGCAAACCATTGAACCCAAATATTATGCTGTAGTTGCTCAAACCTTGAAAACAGCACCAACTAAATGTTTAGTGTTTTACAGACTTATGATAAAGGGAGTGCTATTCCACTGCCGTGCACACAAAATTGCGTCAAGAAATTCGTACACCGTACTTTTTAAACTTGGAGGACATTTACAAACATTTGGTCAAGTAGTTTTTTACACGAAATGCTGTTTTACATGTGCCTGCAAGGATGGTTGCAACAAATGCACGCACTACTTGGCTGTTGTGCAAACAATTTCTGTGGAAAGAAACATTTTATGCACTGCTGATGCCATTGTTACACCAAAACTTGACAACATTGTGGTTGGTGTGTTTAACAATGAATATGTAGCCATCCCAGTGACAGACATTTTGGAGCTTTGTACATTTGTGGACCTCAATCGCAAAGATAAGCGAGTGTTTATGTGTCTGCGCCCCAACAAAAAGGAAATTGACTGAAAAAAATGAATACACCTATCATTTGAACTTGAAAAGAACTAAGCACTGTTGTATAATTGCATCACTGACTTAATACATTTTTGAAACTGAACCAATTTTTAATATCTTTTTTTATGTACAGACACAGATGTGTAGCCTATTTTGTGCATTGTTATTTCTGCTTTTTTCTATTTTTGATGGTAATTCAAATAAAGTACTTTACAGAGATTTTTACTGTGATTATATTTATTTGTGTTTTATGTGTAAGTACGTAACTAGTAAACAGCTAGTAGAAAACGTGTGTAGAATCATATCCTTGTCCTTGAATTATTAAAAATATTAAATATATATATATATATATATATATATATATATATATATATATATATATAAGAAAATCAAAGAATATATGATCCTCTAGTACTTTCACCTCTTTCTAGAGACACTTTATATTAACATTTTACATACAAGTTTGCANTAAATTTTTCCTCATATATGTGGCACCGATTCCTCTGACAGTGTCACATGTGGGTCTCCATCTGAAAATGAATTTTGTGACATATCTCTCATTTATAGTTTGAAAAACTTCAGGATACTCAAAACATTGTCGTCTCTGTTGAGGTTAAGTAAAATTTTCATAAATTTTATATTAGTTTCTTACTGATATAAGTTGAAACTGTTTCTTAAATGACATAAAATAGTAAAAGTAATGAAGTTATTAGAAGTATCTTATAACAAGCAGCGGTAGGCAGGCATCCCTGCATATGATTTCCTTTTGAAACTTCTATAACCTAGAGTAAATTAATATGGGGTTTTAGTAATAAAGGGATTTTTTTCTTAACATTTTATTGTGCAATATGTTCAAGATGTACTTGATTGTGTGTTTACTGTTAGTCTGAAAGCAACTTATAAATGTATAATAAAAATAAAATGTTTTGACATGGATTGTCATGTGTAAGTGTTTTGAATGTATCAAGGTTGGTGTTGGACATTAAATGGAAAGTATCATTAACTGGCTCGATCAATATCTTTTTCATGGGGTACACTATTATATGCAAATCATGTCCCCACTGTGTAATTTGGTAAGAATACAATAGATTTAGATTGACAGTGGAAACCCTTCTCTTTCGACATATGGATGCTATTCTATTGGTAGGTTTACAGGTTTTGTGAAATTGGATTTTCACTTGGAGTGTTTTTAACACAGAAAGAGTAGTCTAAGAGAAGAAGTAAAGCAACAAAATCATGACAGTGACAACAACTGATTGTGTAATGTATGTGATTGACAGTTTATTTCAGTGTACCTGTGATTGACAGTTTATTTCAGTGTACCTGTTTGAATTGTGAATTGTGATATTTGAGGAATTGGAAGATAAATTACATTGATTGAAAACTGAATAAAATGAAATAATGTAAAAGTACAATTTTTTTCAGAAAATAAATTGTTTTATACATATGCATTGGTTTGTTCATTTTATTTAAAATGATTATTTTTAAGGACTAATTGTTTTAATAGTGACAGCAGTCAGTGGGAATGAAGAATATAAGTTAAAGTAAACTAAGAATTAAACTAATTAAATTATTATACCTATATATTAGGTTATATATATATATAATCACAATTCAAACTTTATTCAATCAAGTTTATAATCTAATATATATATATATATATATATATATATATATATATATATATATATATATATATATATAAGGTTGTAAACTTGATTGAATTTAATTAGCTTAAATTCAACCATTAATTTTAGATTTCAGAAGTAGAAATGCATTTTTATATATATATATATATATATATATATATATATATATATATATATATATATATATATATATATATATATATATATATATATATATATATGTGTGTGTGTGTGTGTGTGTGTGCCCACTTTGGCCACTTAAAAAAGGAATGAATGAATAAGAAAAAGCAAAATAAAAAGGTCAAAGGAAACTAACAAAAAATTCAAACTTAAAAAATATTTGGAAAAAGAAAATTTGAAAAGCTCAGACTTGGCTGCAGTGAATTCTTCATCTTGGCAAAATAAAATCTTACTGATCATTTTAAGTGATAGAATGATTTGGTATAATAAGAAGTCATGTCTGTAATGAGTCCAGGTATTGGCATGATATTTGTGGTTTGTCCCACTACTGGACATAACTTGTGTGTGTCCTTACTTCTTGTCCACACACCTTACACTGGGTTCACATACCTAGATCGATCTAACAGGATGGATCCACCTCCAATTTTTTTTTTTTCGCTACATTGCCTTCAGCTTAAACAGCTTAGATGTCTGGCACGCCTACTAGAGCTGCTAAACAAATTATCCCCTAGCAGCTTCAGGAGGCAAGACAGACATCTAATCCACTGAAGTTGATGGCAATTTAGTGAGAATCCCCAAGGAAATAGACCCATCCACAGTAACTGTTGTAATGCTCACGTACTGGATGTAAAAGGGTGTGGTTCCCAAGGAGAATCTTAACCTGAAATTTGTTCTAAATTTTTGGACCAAAATTTTACTTTCCTTTTATCCAACTAAATGAAGTATTACACCTGTATTATACCAAGAAAGGTGTGGCTGGTTTATCATACCAATACTTAAATTATTTAAATGAAATAAATATATGTACTACAATATGCTTTACCTTGAACTGAAGTAAATGCTAAATGTTTGATTTACAAGTTACATTTTCAGGCCAAACGTCTTTTGTGAAACCAGTCCTAATTTTCAACAATGTCATCCATTTTTTTTTTTTTATTCAGGCATGTTTTAACTCTCTATAATACCAGTCCAGATGATGAATCAAATTCATGTAGTATGTCAACTTTTGAAGGCCTCTTTCCAGACCAGCATGTTATAGCTTATATCCTTGTCCTTGTCTCTAGACGTGTATTTGTGCTTCAGGAAATATGCTTACGTCCTTCAACTTGCCACTAGAAAATATGTTTACCCTTTTCAAATATTATGTCTCAATCATGGCACCCTTAAAAGACAACTATTATGTCATGTCCAAAGCTATGTTAAAGAAAAAGGTTTCCTGTCTAAATTGTAGTGTAAAGACGTGGAGCAGAAGACTTTCTTTGTTTTATTGATAAGTTCTCTTTTGTTACCCTCTGGGAACCATTTCTGATATTATTTGGTGGTCAGTACGCTGTAAAAGATGTGTGACATTTTGCCTCAGGATCATGTTTGCGTCATCAAATGAAGAGCATTAATGTCATAGTTGTAGTTGGTACACGTAATTCAACTGGTAATTCAAAAACCTGAGTAGTGTAAAAAGCCAAAAATGCAGACAATATGAAAGTATTCTATTAACCTATTCTGAAAAAAGTATAAATAATAAACCTCCAAAGCATATTATAGAAAAAAAATCAAAGTTCAATGTTGTCTATTTGCCCAATTTTAATTTTAAGGACTGCATTTCTTAGAATAACATTTCTTAGAATGACCATAGGCTTACCGACAAGCAATTCTTTTACTTGAATATTTACACCAGCTCCACAGGCACAAACTAGTAATTTCCTGCTATATTGTACCAGTCTTTGTTTGGCTAGTTAATGTGCATGGCAAAGAGAAATGACATTATAAGTAAAGTAGAGGCCCTCGCTTGGAGGGTGATTATCTTAGAATTTATCAGTATGGTATGTTAAGTTGCCATGATTCATTTTCTTATTCATGAAATTCAATATTTCCCTTTCTTTTTCTTGTGATTTCCGAAATCCATCCTTTTAAAAAAATTATAGATAATATGTTTTTACTAAAAAAAAGTGTTATTAATTCAACTTGTCAAAACTAAAACGAAACTGAATAGTCTTTATAGTGTCATAAATTTAACCATTAAAAACAATGACCATAATTACATAGGTGATTTTTTAATGGCAGTGATAAATGACTGACGTATAGCTAACAACAGGAGCGTCATATTTAACCCACACACTTGGTAAGATGACACACGGACAGAGACTGTCAAATACAGGGAAGTCAAATCTTGGCACTGTGTTAATTTGACCAAAGTCATTTCAACAACCCCTGGAGCAGCTGGCATGGCAGGCCTCCATACATCCATATGCCTTGCCCCAAGACATGCTTCTTTACAAGTGGGCCCAGAGCATGTATAATTAGTGTAATCACTCTTGTACAGCTTTGGGGCATCAGTGCTGTCACAGGTAATACCTGTATGTTGATTAAATTTGTTAGGAGAGATTTTCATCTTTAGGGCAAGAATACTGGAGCATAAAGGTCTGGCAAGAGGCTTGCATTTTTTTATACACACAAGTTGAAGAGACTTCACTTTCTGACATACCTTTGTGCGTGTTGTAGGATCTTGACTTAAACTTGGACATTTGCTGAAGACCTTGGTGGAAAGTTAGAAAACTCTTCAGAATTTTATGTTAAAGTGCTAACAACATATGTGTAAAGATACATTTTTGATCTTCAAGTTTTTCATGTGAAAGAGGACTCCTGTATTGCAGAAAAGGAAAATTTATTAGTTATATATGATAAAGTACATGGGATTGGATCCAGAGATATGTTTCTACAGAGCCATTATTATCTTGCCAAAGAAAGACAAGTGTGAAACTTATTGCCGTCAGCTTTCAGGAGTTTGCTTCCAAAAAGATACAAAGTGGTAAGTTGATTAATACATTTAACCAAATGAGCTTATTCATAATTTTGATCATTTCATTAGTAATATTTAATTTAAGCTGATATACATACTTATACCTTCAGTCCTTGTACTATATTCATTTTGGCATCTGTTAGTGATGCATTCACATAATTTTTTCTGAAGAAAATAACTTTTTATATTCCATTACCAAAAGTGGAAGGGGGCGTTCTTATTTGTAGTAAACCCATCTGTAGTCTAAATAGCGGGACATCAACAAGCACAAACATGAATTTTTTCATTAGTTGTGTTTCTTTTTGAGTGTTCACAGCCTAAACGATGGAGAAAGGCGAGCCCTTTATGCTCCGTGTGAGTAACCCCACCTACAGTCTCACCAACAGGACAGAGAACGCCATACGAAAGCAGGATTCCAGGGACCTACTCTTCAACCCCAGGAGGAAAAGAAAGCGGTCAATCTGGACCCTGCGCAGATACAGGGTAGGTTTTGTAGTGTATTTCATTTTCTGGTATTAAATAAATCTGGAAAAGAAAAGGTATCACAAATAAGAGCAACTAGTGCATCCTATCGTGGCTGTATTAAGTAGAAACAAGCCCCTATTTTGCATGAATAATGAAACTGAAAATGAGGGCTTGACTTTAATGTGTTTAGGGGCTATCTTGTAATTCCCTGATCAGTAGTGACAGGCAAGGGATCATAAATAGCCACATCATAGGATTAATTAAGACAACCTATGAAGTAGTGTGGTATCAGTGGGAAAAATCTTCACTGACAGTTAATGCAATGCATCAATAACAACTAACACAACTACACCTTATACTTGGTCTTTATGGTATAAGGGCCATTCCTGAAAAATTCACCTAGAAAATAAACCTAAATTTCATGTTTTTTTCTTTCTGTCAGCTCTAGCCTTACCAGTTAATTTCAAGAGTGTAAATGTGTAGAATTGTTAATTATTTTATCTGATGGACTGAAACAAAATAATATTTGTTAAATCTCATAAAGTCTTACTTAAATATTATATGATTGATATTCAAGTAGACCAGAGATGTGTTTACTATGTTTTATATGTCATCTAGCTAATGACACAAAACTCCTTGCAGTTGACGTCTTAGCCTCTGGTCTAGTCATAAGAAATACTGTTTTGCATGTTGTACATGTATAGTTTGACGATTCTGTTTAGAATAACAACAACTTAGTGTCAATGGCAGAAAAGTATACATAGGACTTGACATTATAACTAAATAAAACAAAAAGCAGGGCAGACTTTACATGGGTATTTATTAAGAGTAAAATTTTACCCAAAGATCATACAGCTGTAAAAATTTGACAACGGTGCTAAATTATAGTTCATTTCTACAATATTCTTACTAGGCTTAGCAAAGGTAGGCTATTTTTAGTTAAAAAGTAGGCAGGTCTAAACAGTCTCAATTCCATATAACTCCATGATAGTGTATGTGTGGGTATGTGTTTGTGTGCGAGTGTGTGGTGTGTGTGTACGCATGCAGGNAACCGCCCCTTTTGCTGGGAAAAGGCCCACTTTGGGTAAAATTTGATCTAGGTACATGATGTATTTAGGGAAAAAGGTCCACTTTTTCATAAAAAGAACCCCCCTTTTGAAATTGCTGGCTACGGGCCTGGCATGTGTATGCATGCATATATGTGTGCATGTATGTACGTGTATGTGTGTGACGTGAGATGGGTGAGCTTTCATAAAATCTGAAAGAAACAGCCTGTAGGTATTCACTGTGCTAGTGAATGTGCATACTGCACAAATGTTGATGACTGTAACATGTGATCCAGAAAGCTTATAGTAAATGTGAAGAAAAAAAATTGAATTTTCAAGTATTTTGTAATTGTTTTTGTCAGTTTCTGAGAAAAATGCTTATATTTTGAGAAACTTATTATAATATAATCCAAATAAACTGATGCCTTTCTGTTGCTGTTTTGTACATGAAGCCCAGAGTCCTAATTTGTAAATGCCATTTGCCATAGAAGCTATTTGTCAGTCTTTAAGGCCAGTGGTTTGTCTTTAAGGATTGCTTTTAGTTAATTGAGTTCAAGATCAACTCTCAATCATCTGCACTATTTCTTAGAGTCAAGACGACAAATATAGCACAGGGACTCATCCACTCGTTCAAGATAACAGTTTCTGAAAAATTAATTTGAAGTCAAATCCTTTGACGTACATGATAACAGTGTTTTCAAAGAAATTCCATCTTTTGATATGAAAAGCTTTTAAAAAATCATTAGGCCAGTTAAATGGTTCTATGAAAACCCTAGCCTACTAAGACTTACATTTTAATTTTTTTCATTGATCAATTGATCAGAATCCTTTATTGATTGTATGACTATAAGGCACATGTAGGTAAGTGGGGGCGGGGGAATTGATCTTAATTCAAAGATTTTATTCCCTCTTTTTGAAATTATTACAGTGCTATTCCTTTTTGAAGTATGCTGTTTAAAATTTACTTACAATTTATTATTTATTTATTACTATTATTAGTGTTATAAGGCATGTTCATTGATATTTCTTTTGTTTTTCAATGTTCAGATAGAGAGAGAAAAAGGAAACAATACCAGCTCTTGTTAAATTTGCAAAAAAAAAAGAAAAAAAAAAAAAAAGGGAAAATGTTTATTTAATTTGAGTTCCTTGGATAGATATGATATTGTAGCCTATTAGGTTTGATAAAGTGCCATCATAACATGCATGTGTGTGTCTTTAATTTGAGACAAAACTTTTTAAATCTTTTAAAAACAACTATGATATTAACTTTTGGTTTGTTTTTACAATAATTAATAACAAATGTTTCATTTAAAATCTTTTAAACAATAACACACAATAATTTTCTTTATGCAAAAACCTTAACATTAGCTAATACTTCTTATTGTCCAAACACTAAGAATAACGAAAAAAAAAAGTGGAAGTTGACACCAATATTTGTTCTGCTCTAGATATTAATTTAATCATACACTACTCAAATGTTATGCTTTAACTTGTTTGTGTTGTGGAAGTTTTCTATCTTTCTCTCTAAGAAAACGTCTCTTGGATCCTCTTGTTTATGCAAAAATTGATCAGAATTAATTTTTTCCTGCTCATATTTCATGGTTCATCTGAAGTTGAGGAGTTGCGCCAAGGGGCATTCTGCCTCCTTGAACTCTCAACACTGTCACAGCACGCGTTCACTTCTTTAGAATTTGAATCAATATCTAAATGAATGAATGAATGTGTTGACTGTTCCCTGGTGGATTTTGTCCAGAAAATATTTCTTAAATGAAGCGATTTTGGTGTCATTGCTGTTGGTCAGTACAGATGAAGTGGTTTGTTTATCTCTGAAAAAGTTTGGTAATTGGTTGCTATACTGACTGATTAAAAAGTGTCAGAGTTTGATAGTCAGGTTAAGTGCCCTAGTTATTGGATGTGAAAGTGAGATTGTTTTCCCAAACAGCTTCAGCACAGTCCATTAATATGTGTACCAAGTAAAGGGAAAAGTTTGTAGAGATGCATTTAAAGTTGCTGCTTGACAAGACTTTCATACAGATGAAACTGCCTACCCAGAAATGTTAGTGTTGAGAGTGTGTATTGGGATGGGGGGGGTATATGTAAGTGTGTTTGTTGGGGGTAGGGTGGTGGTGATGGGATTACATAATAGAGGTATTCCTGATATTTTCTGACCTTCCAATTAAATCAGTATTAATACCAAATAACATGTTTCTCATTGACAATCTTACCAAAGTTTTTTTAAGTCTCCTGCTGCTTTAAGACCAGTTTTGATTGATGAGGTACAGTGGACTACAGACATCTTGGAGTAGTTGGTGGGAGTGATGATACTATCTTGTCACTTTGAATAATAGGATATGCTAAGTGCCTGTTAATCAATGGTATTGACCCTGAATGCATGGTGGTTTTTGTGGGTTTGGACACCAAGGAGTTTGCTGGCAAAATTTGAAGGTTTGTGGTGTATTGTGTTTTCTTGGTGAGTAGTAGGGGAACTTTTTTTTTTTTTTTTTGTGTCAAAGTGAATGGCTTGAAGATTTTAAGTTGATACTGGTATGAAGGTTTTTCTTCATGACTACAAAAAATTCTTTGTTTATTTGTTTGTTTGTTTTCTTAACTCCAACTCAAAGTTCAGAATTTTGGAATTTTAGAGTTTTGTTAGTCACATTTACTGAATGCTTTAAAGTCTTTGTTTTTGTAAATGTTGTTATGTTAAAAGATGTTTTGATCTAAGTGCACTGTGCTTTTTTTGCTTGGGTTTTGAGGTCTTTGAACTGATCTCTGAAATTTGTTTCATAATCTTGAAAAATACTCATTTTTACTTCTTTACAATTAGGTTTTTACCAAATTTTCCAGCTAACATAACAAAGATGATTTCATTTTTGTAGTGTTGCAGGTATTTTTTTATGACAGGAAAAGACATCCTAAATACTTCACATTTGAATATGATTGGTGCAAAATTATTTTATAGCATTGCCAAGTTTGAATATTGTTTCACACCATAGCAAAGCCCCTTGATTAAATTGTGTTGATCTTGCAGGTTTTGACTTTCAAGGGTGGCATTTTAGATGCATGATATTGTGGGGTATGGGGACCAGTCATTCTTAAAAACTTATACTATACCAAATTAACAATATTGCAAATTTAACTGTGCATTGGTATCTATCTGATTTTAGCACTCAAACCATTTGAAAGAGATAAATCATGCACTCATGCATGTGCACAGAGGAGGGTGGTATCTCATGATATTGGAATATGAATATTAAGTATCAGATACACCAAGTTATTTATGTACCACAAATCTTTATGTAATAACAATTATACCATTAGGCTTCAAGTTAAAAATGTTTCATTAACTTGGTACATGGATCATAGCTGATATAAAACACAAACTTATGGTATGAAAACATTCCAGCTTGTGTTATATAATTATCATACTGGTATATGATAGGCTCTCATTTGTCTGATGGCTTTTAGGCTTTCTCCTGTCTAAGTTGGCACACATTGGAACATGCCCTATGTAGAAGCCTGTGAATCCTATCTCAAATCAATTCCAGTTATTGGATTACTGATGGTCTACTGTTCAGAACCTTCTACATCATTTGTTTAATGGGGCACTCAGGATCAGATTAGAGGAAGAAAATTGGATTTGAAGAGTTCATTTACTGTCATGCACAACATTAACCCAGGGACTGTAACCTTATCGGGACACATTTTTGATATTTGTCCCTGTTGATTCAGACAAGTGACATTTTTGGATGTAAATGGATCCAAAATGTGCCGATTGTCAGAGAACCAGATTGCTTTAGGAGGCAATATTTAGTTCCTCTGAATGTGTATGGTTACGAACAAAAATGTGCGGAGTGTGCATGGTATTTGTTAAGGTGTATGGGGTGAATTACTTCTTGGTAAAAAGGATTTTTACCATTCTTCAGTTGAATGTAACCCCTGATGTCTTGTGTACATGTAACACATGCTATA